ATCCGAGGCACTTGTCGGCAGTCTGGTTTTATTGCCGCAGGCGTAAGTCAGACCGAAGGTGTAGCTCAGACGGAAGGAATTCAAAGTATGTTTCCTTAGTTGAGAAACAGGCTCAATTATGAGAAGAACGGTAGGGGAAATCTCTTTCTCGATCGCGTCGAGTCGATTTGTTCCGGAGGCGATAATGGAGGATGGTTCGTACTCCGTGTCATACGCATCAGTGATGTTCCAGTTCCAGAAGAAAGTGTTCTGGCCGATGGCGGAGAAGTTGTGCACCGCGAAGATGACAGGTGAGGGATAGTAGGGCTCGATCAAGGAGTTGTTCCGAGGGAAAACGAGGTCGAACTGTAATGTGGCCAACGTGCCGTCCGTTCGAAGCCCAGAACATGCGCGTAGGAGGCACAGCAAGATTGATAACTGTTGGACATGGCGGCGCATGATCATGCGATAGCGGTCTGGTTGTTAGGAAGGCAAGGTCGCGAAAGCGAAGCAGAAGAATAGGAATATACAACATATATGGTCGTTGTCGTGTATGACTTTATGCGCTTGGTTCGTGCCACCAACACAGGAGTATAGTGCGTGTGCTTGGCGACACCGCACATGGGCGTCCGGGTAAAGAGCGTTGCTTAGCTTCCGCTGCGTCGTCTCGAAACACCCAAAACTACATCGAACGAGCCGTCTGGGAGACTTCAGCGGCACAACATCGAAGTGACGGCTTGAAGTGTGTAATCGTCAACACAGGTCTTGATCCTAAATTTTGAGAGCGTCGGCTTGTTTCAGCACCTTGTCCCAGCGATATACTGTGTTGACTAGCTGTGCATATGAGCAGGTCTTCCAACATACTTCCACGTTGTAACCAGTGGTTTATAAGAGATCTCTAGAAGCATATGCTGGACACACCACAGCAGATGTGAACGCAGACCAACGTTCTATGGCCGAACACGACCGGAACGATACTCGTAATACAAACCATGGATTTGTTCAAGCTCCCAGAAAAGAACTCCGAGGGAACTGAGACTCAGGCCATCAACACCACCGCTGGTAATACTTCGGCTTCATATGTACACCGAGTATGGTACGAGGGCAAGCGCTCGGGGCTGACACGAGAACATGGTGAAATGGGAAGAAAATAAGGACCGGGGCAACTCGGGGTAGACGGACTACTAACAGCTTCTGGCATGCGTAATTAGGTGACGACTTTATCTCGTATTGAAGATGAAGTTGGGAAACGACAAGGAGCGATGCAACTCGGGGTACATGAACCGCTAACAGCTTCTGGCAAGCGTGAGTAGGTGACGGCTTTCTCGGATGTTGAAGATGAACTTGATTTGAGACGGAAGTGGGATGCGAAAGAAGATGTGGTTTGGCGATACGTAGTGCGTGTCGTCCGGTATATGATTAAGAATGTTCGTACCTCACAGTTCGATAACTGTCGTACTCACGAAAGTCCCTAGCCTCCACCCTAAGGCTACATCTCCAAAAGAAGCCTCGTCCAAAGGCCAAGTAGCGTCGTGTCAGAACCTGCTAGCACCGGGACCGGGTACGCCGACCAAACCTGCCAATTCCAGCGTCCGGCGCAATCCGAAGCGCTTCGTATAGATCGACAAGCGCATTCAGCCTATTTCGGGACACTTGTCGCGAAAGCTCGCCATTGTCCATCCCAAAGCAGAGCGAGTAGTCTCCGCAGACAGACCGCCTGAACAGCGCCGTCGCAACTCCGGTCGGCCAACCTACATGGGACGCCGCCCTGCCAGCCGAACCCAATTTCGAGGACGTGGCTGACCGCCGATCATCGGCGCTAACGACGTTCTAGCGCCTTGGCAGATATGCAGTCGCGTGGCTAGGGTGAAGTGGCGGTGATAAGCGGCTGGGCTGGGCAAGAGATCCTGTTTTGTAGCTCTCAGGCGTGCCGTTGGTGATGCGCTTTACGGGCGTCTCAATCGTGGTAAGCTGTAGGATCGGCTGGGGGGAGTATACCTCGTTCGGCAGGTGACACTGGCCCCGGGTGTCACAGCGTCGGAAGCCAAGCGCAGCAACTCGAAACAAGGCAAAGTAATCTGGCGCAAATAACGGGATATCAGTGTTGTGTGAATAATATTGATTGTGTGAACTGGAGACTCGTATTGGGGTATCATCGCGTCGGAAGACCCAGATCGAAAGTGCGACGGTAAAATGAATCGGGGCGAAAACCACCCAGCCCGAACCGAACCAAAACCGAAAACATGATAACAAATGATTGCCCATCCCATATCTGGAAAACGCCTTGGTAATGCAACGCTATGCTATGCGATAAGCCCTTTCCTCTTTCTTCGTAAACGTATTATCTTTGTGCTTTGCCAGTAGAGCAAGCCGTTGCTATTGTAGTATGACATTCTCTTCCTGCTGGTATACGACGCCACTCGTGTTCTGCGCGAAGATCTTTTGTATCGGAAGTGTGAGTGCGTTCATGATATTCTCGCGGAAGTCCATCTTGACGTTGCTCTTCTCGAACCAGTAGTGGCGGATGAGCTTGCCCTGGCAGTTGCTGACTTCGACACCGGGGAAGCCATTGGCCTCTCCGCACTCAAGCTCCTTGATGTATTGCTCGTAGTCGTAGCGGATGTACTCGCCGAAAGCGGATTGCTCGTGGAAGCGGGGTTGCTTCCATTGCGAGCAGTTTGCGTAGCGGGTGTCGTCGGGGCACTCGTGCCATGCCTTGAGAATGGGCAGGGTTTGCTCGTTGTTCTGGACAATCATGAAGCCGGTGTTGGTGTAGGTGCGGTTGAAGCGGTCGGAGTTGTACTGGGGCTCTTTCGCGCTCCAAGGGTCTTTGGCCATGACGAAGGAGTGGTGCGGCTTTACGTCCCAGTGGTTGAGCATCCATTCGACAGGGACGTGCAGGAAGCGGAAAGCGGCATCGGCGTCGAGGAAGATGATGAACTTGTAGTCCTTGATGTGGTTTGCAAGTGCAGATGGCTTGATCCAGGTAGCGTGTCGGTCTTCGAATTCGCGGGCTTGTACGAACTTGTAGTCGTAGCCGTGGACAAGCGCATACGTGTAGTGGTTGAAGATGCCGCCAGAAACGTGGTTGATGTTGCGCCAATCATATTCGCCCCGTTCGTACTCCTCAGTAGATTTGAGGGGACGGGTCTCCAGATCCAGAATCAGAACGTCGCTGCCTAGGTTCTTCTTGTAGCGCGGGTTCGGTGGCAACGTGATGTGGCTGCCATTTGGTTCGCGAATGAAGGGCTCAGTCGGTGACACCTTCAGGTTCTGGTACAGTAGCTTGATGACATCGCCAATGGTCGAGTCGGTCTGCGCGCTGGCTGCAGCTCTGTAGGGTCTGTTAGCTTCCGCCGGAAAAGCATTGATTAGGCCATGGCCCTTCCATCCCAAGAACCATGAATTGACAGCACGTACAAGTTAGACTGGCCATGTGGGAAAGTCACCCGGGGTGGACTCTGCCAAGCCATGAAGGCGAAGATGAATACCAGGACACAGCCAGCGCTCACCGAGAGCGCGAGCAACGGGCTCCGACCTCCAGTCGACGGTAGCATCATCTTGGGCGGCGTAGATCCAGGAACGAGGATAGATCCAAACGAGCGACGCGAGAGTGCAGACGGAGATGTTACGATGGCGATAGGGGGTGCAGCGTGCTGTGGCAGGGCGTCGGGGGATCAGCACATTTTAAAAGACGACAGACCCGCCAGCTCGTCAGCACCAGCCAAGACGCGCAGGAGGTGGCATGGGGCGCTGGGGGCCGGCGAGATTGCGCTTGGCAGGCCCTTCAGCCTTTTGCGGTGTCCCTGCAGCCAGACGCCCCCGAACCTGGATCCACTGGCGGTGCTAAAGTGGCTTCTGGATCCCGTCTTGGGGCGAATCAGATGCTGGCCCGCTGCTGAGCCGTGAATCTTTCCAAAGGGTGTTGATGCACGGTTCCTGCCGCGCTGGTAAACGGCTGGCACGGCATCACAGTGCAGTTGGCGGTCATGTGCCGCTGTGGCTGACAGCGCATCAATATAGACAAAGTCGAAGCTGTTGATATTTTCCGAGAACCACGGAACAGCTATTGTTGTACGTGTTGGGCTCGAGGCCATTTCCAGTGCGACCGGACGAGCGAAGATGGTGGCAAAGGGTCCAAATTGGGGCGACGCCTACCAGAAACTGGTAATCTCCCCGCCGGACTACCCGCCCCACTCGACATCTCCATCCCGCCTCCTGACATCTTCGCAGTTCCCGATAAGCCAACGCCTCCTTTCCAACATGCAGAACCACCCCGCATCCGACGCCGCTGTCTGTTGCTGTCTGAAACGAACCTGTGTCCACTGCAGCGAACGCCGTGTTTCCTGGGCGGTGCCACAATATGCGGCTGCTGACTGGGCGTTCCGCAGGTCCGTGGAGCAATCAAACGTTCGACATTGTCAGCGTCAATGCAATAAGCTCGGTGATTACTACACCTATGGGGCTACGATGGATAGCCTAGGTATCATTACTGGTCCTGATCAGTGATCATCACTGGGGCCGATGTCTACTTCTTACACTCTTGTCGTCAGCCTGCCGTGCGGCGTCGTCGACTTGTCAAACCTCGAGTACGCGACACAACTCTGACTCTCGGTAACTAGCTGCACGGGTGTTCTTAACTTAAAACTGACTTCGTGACGTTGTCTTATAGACCTGATGCGGCGTAGCCTGCTCCGCATTGTATGCATGCAAACGCCAACCGATACTCAGGTCGACAGGAACTGGATGCCTGATCTGCCACTCAGGTTTTACCCACCCTAGCGCAATGCTTGAATGGACGTCGGAGAACTGATTTTCTTGTAGCATGGTTCTTTCTAGAAGTCTTGTTATTGTTGTTGTTTGGCTGACAATTTCCTTCTTGCGTCCGCTTTCTCGCCCATTCTCTTTGAGACGAAGCAAACTTTTCTCCGCTCAGTATGTATATCGGGTTGCGCCACCACTTTCTCCACATACTCATTACACAACAAGCCATACGTTTAGGCCACAGACTCCATAGCACAATGACAGAAGCAGGCCACGACCAAATGAAAAGTTCATCGACCTCAAGCCAGTCTTCGGCACCACTATCCTTCGTGCCCACGAATCCCAATCCTATCGACACTAGTAGCGAAGCGCGCCAACATGAAGAGACCAAGGTCCCCTCTACCGACGACCGACACGATCATGACTCACGAGGCACGGATATCCCGGCCCCAGAAGGCGACACGTCCGGTACATACACCCCCTCACCACTACACATGGCCATGTTCGTCGCAGTGGTAGTCTTCTTCATAATCGCAGTTTATCAGGGCATCTTGTACATTCCCGGTGCTCAGCCTAGCACTGCTGCGCTTGCTTCGGGCATGATATGGACGGCCATAACTCTGCTGCAACCCTACTTCCTCGGCAACTGCATCTACTACATAAGCTACGCCATGAGGTCCATAGCTTGGGTTATCGAATCTGGAATCCACGATGGCTACGGCTACGGTCCAGAAATCGGAGAAAGTGAGTTCCGGGGTGCAGCCATGGATACATTGAAACAAATTCTAATGCACGTCGACGAACTAATTACGGTAGCTAAGACAAATATCGGCCACTCGCCAGAGGATATGCGGGTGACAAACGAGGCGGACCTAACAACACCACCCGCTGACCAGGTTTCTCTAGGGGAAGAGAGTGGGTCTAACAGCTCCTCACGGCGCCGTAGTTCTGCCAGCTCATCACCAAAACCAAAGCCCGCGGTCCCAAAGAAGAGTAGCCGTATCAGTAACATGAAGTTCTAGCTCACCACTTCCACGCTCCTCTGGTCCTTGGGTACTTGGAGAAGCAGTGAATGAAATGCCGGTAGAAAAGTACACCTCGACTAAAGGATCTTTAAGTCCTGCGCCATGATGAAACACACGGGCGGGTGCACGATGGAGAACAGGGCAGCGACAATCTTAGCGAGCGGAGATGAGTAGGTGTTGTAGCCTAGCCTGGAAGGTTACATAAACACTCTTCAGACATGTATCCACGATCCCCCAGCTGCTTCGACAACACAAGAGACAGGCATAGAACAACGTCTTTAACTATCACAACTTGTTTGCTTGAGTCACGCGCCCATCGCATTAGACATTGTCGCACACAGCAATCACCAACACTGCGTTTGCTCCCCTACCCATCTATTCCCACTTAAACATCTAGTCACCCTTGCCGTTCCCATCCCACAACAGCACTATGACATCACCCAACGCAGAACCCAGTTTCAGTCCAGAATTCCTAGCAAGAGTCGCACAGATTCTGAACCCTTGCGCGGCAACGTTTACACCACAGGCACAACCCAAGTCTTCTTCGGCTAACTCATCGGATGGACGGGAACGACCCATACGACAGCCTACTATCCCGCCTACAGCTGAAGATCTACGAGAAGGCAAGGCGAAGAACTTCGTATGGCCATCATCACAGTCGAAAGACGCGAAAGGATCAGTATGATACAACTCCAGATAAAGTATAACATAGATGTATCAACATAGTAAACCCAATCACATCCCCAATTACAACCACTTATACCCTCCCTCTCCACCCGTCTGATGAGTACTAGCACTAGCCATCTCCTCATACTTTCTCCTCACCTCCGCCATCATCTTCTCCCGCTTCTTCCTCGCTCTATTCTTCTCTCTCACGCTTCGCACTACTTCAACGATGTCATCGACACGGCCTTTTGCTGTGGTGTAGAGGCCGAAACAATCTCCACCACTACCGCCGCCGCTACCGTGGGGTTTGCTATTCGTCCCAGCAGGTACGGTGGGTGCGCTTTCGCTGACATCAGCGGTCGCACGTCTGCGGAGCGCAATAAGTTCCTCAAACGCTTCATCGGGGTCGCGCATCCTGTTCACGGTGATGTGATGCGTGGCTCTGCGCTGCGGTAGGGTGGGTGAAAGACGGATGTCTGAATCCTTCCTTAGTTTATGCGAACTCTTTTGCGCAGGAAAGGTTTGCGCGCGCCGTTGCTTGGTGAGAGGCGGTGGCACACTTTCTTCAAGAGGAAGTTGTACCTTCTTTGGAAGCAATGGCTCTTCCAAGGTGATACTCCTGCCTCTTTTGCTGCTCTTCCGGGGTATGGGTGGTATCGGTATATCATTCCGTGGTTCTGGTACTTGCGGCAATTCTGGTACTTGAGGTACTTGCGCATCTTTCGAGAAGAGACTCCTTCTCATCATGGATGCGCGTGCTGGTCTGTCCTTACGACCGTGCCCGTGACTCATGCGCTTTGTGTAACTGCGACGGTTGGCGAGGGGCTCTGGTGCGGTTCTGGGCTCGGCGAAGGTCGTTACGATCTGGAGTGAAGGACGGCCGCCTAGCTCTAGCTTGTTGTACTTGTGCGTCGGCGGTAGGGCGCTACCACGAGGTGAAGGCTTGGGCTTGCTGGGTATACGTAGGGGAGGTGGCACGGCGGAGCGTGTGGAGACCTCGTCTAGCACTCTCTGACGCGGTAGTCGTGGCGCTTTACCGGTTCCCATTATCTCGCTGAATAAATCGGCGACGGTATCGCGCTTTGCGGCCTTCGACTTGACTTCGCTGTTGGCGTCCTCTGATGTTACATCGCTGGAGGTTACGGGACTGAATACGTCGACCCCGCTATCTTGTACACTCTCTCGGTGGGCTATAAAGCTTCGTGGCGGTGATGAGACCGACCTCAAAGCTGGATGTATTCGGCTGGCTGGTGACCTTCCCTCCCGAATTTCGCTTCCATCTACCGCCCTCATACTCTTCGGTGAGTATTCTTGCCTCAGCTTATCTTCACGTGCCAATGTCGGCTGAATGCAGTCGTTCAGCATCCACTCCTTCTCCAGAGCGGACAGAGTCTTCCTTGTCTCACTTATCGCGGATGAAGTGGACGAAGTCTTATGCGGCTCGTCCTTTGGTGGAACCGGTGGTGCAAAAGGGTTGCGCGCCGTAGAGCTTGTCGCCGTATCGCGCTTGACATCGCGGTCGTGAATTGGGATAGCAGCCGACTCTGATCTGCGGCGTGCCTGGGAGTGAAAGAAGTGAGCGAAGGGGTTCTCCGGCTGCGGCATGGTCGCGTCGTAGTGTGAGTCACGGGAATCGGGAAGGCGTGGTTTCTGAAGTCTGCATCGATCATTCCCCATGTCGCTGACCGCAGAGAGCTACGGTGGGGATGATGAAGTGAGAATACTAGTGCTGCGGAAAGCTGATTAGCAATGAGGGTGTAAATTTATGGGAGTCATGCCCGATGACTCAGGTATGATGACATCGGCAGGCTGAAGTGAGATGGGATGGAAGGTATGTTTTTGATCGTAATTTCTATAAAGAGACGTGGCGATTTTCGTGCCAGTATATCGTCGTGGAATGAAAGAAAAACGCCTTAATGCTGGTAATGGCGGCGCACGGGTATCCGATACATGTGAAAGACCAAGAAAACGCCGTTAACAAATGCTAACACTCGCTGGTGTAAAACGCGATGAGCACGCTTCGGTGCTGAAGATCGCTGTATGCTGAGTGCCGGAGAAAGGAAAGATGCCATAACCGCAAATTGCACGCGACATGCTCGCTGCAATCATGCCTAATCATGGTTGTTGTACAACACGCACTGACATCATGGGAAGTCCACCATATCCTAGACCTAGTAGTAGTACCACGTAAGCCTCATTCCAGATGACCAAGATTGTGCCGAGTCAAAAGCAGCTCAGGCGCAAAGTTAGTCATGTATGAAATATCAGCATCATTGGCAACGTGATGAGCGGTCTCCTCCAGATTGCCAAAGATCGCCTCCATATCGTCTTGCGATATGTCTTCCATCTCTTCATCCTCATCATCGTCATCGTCTTCATCGATTTCGATGTCGTACGGGTGTTTCGGTTCGTCCTGTTCGGCGGCCTGTGTCGAGGCCTCCCATTCTTCGATGTCGGCGCCAGAGAAGAATGAACCTTCATTCGCGTACTCCATGGACCCTTCGTCGTCGGCAGTAGTATCGGAGTTGAGATCGAACGACGTCACCGAAAACATGTCCAGATCTTCGAATGGTGAACAGATCGAGGAAGGGAGAGAAGATGGCGTCCGGGGAGTGTAAGCATCGTCTGAGCAAGCGTTGGCCATGACTTCGTCATCGACACCTAAGGTGGTCAGATGAGAGCTTGAAGAAACGCCAGTGAGAGACCTTTCCATGCTGAGTGGGTCCCTGATAGCATTGCTGCCACCCACGAACTGGAGCCGAGTGCCGTATCGTACGTGAAGGTCTTGGGCGATACCGGGCGCAAACCAGACCTTGTGGAGATCGAGGCGCAAGACTTTTGCTACTCTAGAATCGAGCAGTCGTCGTAATGAAACCGTGATGGGATGGCTGGCGTGCAGTACGGAGTCATCGACGCGTGAATTCGTAAGCCTTGATAAAGAGGATTGAATGCAAATTTCCAGGTCCTCGAAGGCTGCGCCGATCGTAGCTAGTGATGCTATAGTATCAGCGATCTTGCGCTCTCTTTCCGGATTCGCTCTCCCAATCGTGGCAGATACGTTAAGTCGACTTAGGAATCGAAGGTACCTATCGGCGATTGGAGGAAGCACGGTGGCACTAGCGTTGATAGGCGACGACGGGGCGACGGTGCTGATGGGATTGTTCTTGTAGAAGTAAGAAGTAGACTCTAGATGCAACTGGTGTGAGACGGTGAAGAGTGCAAGAGAGTTGTGAGTTGGCTGCTGAGTATGACGATCGCGGAGAAGCTGGTCGTATACCATGTTGCGCAACTCTGCCGGGAAGTCGTCAAATCTTGCCATGGCGGCTACAACGGTTTTGAGTAATTGTCGCGGTGGATTAAAGTATGTGTGAGAAAGATGCAATCGGATCGGTGGCTGGTGATGTCCTTTGACGATGTACCTGTTTCAGGTGGCGCGATGTGGGGTGGGTTCAGCCAACGCACGACAGGGGTGAAAGCATGCGCTAATCGGGAGCACTAGGATTCACCAGGTAGAATGCCGCGACCACAGGGTGTAGTGTTGAGGGATAATGTCGTGCGGAAGAAGCAGGTCGACTGTTGCTTTGTGCGGGGTGCGGTGGCAGTCGTGCTTGACGCGACAGCGCGGGAGTTGAGCAGCTTTTATGTGCGTGGTGGCAGTGCGATGAGGTTGAAATCAGCGAGGACGGTGCGGCAGGTTGAGCTGTTATGCGGCTTCCGAAGACTGATCTACGCTAGCGTGCACACGTGAATGGCTTGGGGTCTGGCGGCTGCACAAAGCATTCAAGGGGCAGGTATACTCGCTAAGCCGCCTTTACCATGGAACGGGACTCTATATGTACTCCCCCACCACACTTGATGACTCCACGGTTCCACGCAATTCGACAGAATCTCAAATCGCAGCTGCCTGATAGGATGTGCCGTATGCCGCTGGCCTATTCTGGAATGAAGGCCGTCAGGGCTGAATGCTTTCTTTACTACTATATATTGAATGCGGAGGTGTGCGCTGCATGCTGCGTTAGGTTTGCAGCCTACATTGAGACGAGATCTTGCCAAGTAGATGACCTAACGTCAACGTAGGCATCATAGCGCTCAGGTTCTTCTTCGAATGAAGTGCTGCCAGTATCTTGCGATGCGCCAATCGGGAAGCGGGATGTAGCAGGCGTACGGAAGGAGCATAGCACAGCCGCCCTTTCTGCCTTGAGGCTTCCTCGCTCTTGTGTGCTACCTGAATGGACGGCCCAACAAGGTGCGCTCCACACGGCGATTATCCAGCATGACTGGAAAGTCACCGTCGCCGAATGTGTATCGAGGATGGTGGGGCCCGCACTTTG